TTTTCTCCTATAGTAGCTTGTTAGTTACATATTCTTTTATAATCCTTTCAGTGATTCCCTTAGGAAAATATAATATTGATCTTCGACTTATTAAAGTCTGATGAAGTAGTAATACGTTTACTCCTACCAGGACCAACAGGAACATTACAACATTTTAACTGCATTCACCTCTCCTGACCTCTTATTCTGTTGCTGTCATGAATTTTAAGCCTCACAAGACATAATTGTTATTAGTCTTTTCAATCAATATTAACTTAGCTTCATCCACATAGTTGCGCCTTCCCTTGTTCTTCCCTGGAAATTCCATGCTTCCTTTCATGACAGTTTTCTCTCTCGTTCAGAGAAGCTCTGTTGGTAACAAAAACCATGGATGACGAATATTCTGGTCTTGCTTTGTTTGAAACATCTTCATTAAAAAAATTTATTTATTTTAAGAGAGAAAGGAAGGGAGGGAGGAAGAGAGGGAGAGAATAATTCATGTGAGAGAGAAACGTCGATTGGTTGCCTCTCGCGTGGCCCCGACTGAGGATCGAGCCTGCAACCCAGGCCTGTGCCCGGACCGGGAATTGATCTGGTGACCGTTCGCTCTGTGGGATGTCGTCCAACCAACTGAGCCACACCTGTGAGGGCTCATTTTTATTTTTGAAGCGTTTTCAATGAATGTGGAATTCTAGCATGGCGGTTGTTTCCTTTCAGCCATCTGAAGATGTTATTTTATTGTCTTCCTTCTTCTATCCTCTTACTTAGAAGTCAGCTGTCGGTCTTGTCATTGCTGCTTGGAAAATAATGCATCCTTTTTCCTTGAGACCGTCTGAGTTTTTCGTTTGTTTGCCTTTGATTTATAGCTGTTTCGCTATCAAAGCCCTAGTTGTACTTTTTTCCTTTTGCACTTCTCATGTTTGGGGTTCCTTGAGGTTCTTGAATCTGTGACAATGTTTTTCAATGATTTTTGGAAAATTCTCAGACAGTTTTTATTCGAATATCATTTCTGTCCTATTTGCTCTTTTCACTCCTTCCTTACATGCTTTAGAACTTTCCACTGTGTCACATGTCACATTAATCTTAATCTTCTGTTTCCTCCTGTACTTTCTGTTCTTTCCCCTCGTTCTTTATTCTGGGTCGTCTCTTTTGATCTCTCCAACAGAGTTCAGAGTCTGGAACTCTGATCTTCCATTTAATTATTTTTTATAGTTTACAGTCCTGGTGAAATTCTATTTGTCATCTAAATTCTTGAATATATCAATTAACCATAATTATTTTTAAGTCTGGATCCTTTAACTCCACCATATGGATCTCCTACAAAGATTCTTTTTTTAATTTGACTTTTAATTTTGAAATAATTATAGATTCACATTCAGCTGTAAGAAATAATGCAGAGCAACTTCATGTGCTCTTTATCAAGTTACCCCTAATGGTAACAGCCTGCAAAACTATAGTAAGATACCACAACCAGGATACTGACACTGTCACAATATTATTAAGATTTTCCCGGTTTTACGTGTGTGTGTGTGTGTGTGTGTGTGTGTGTGTTTATTTATTTCCATGCAATTTTAACATATGTGTAGGCCTACTGGACTTTACATTTTTTCTGTCTTAACTTTCGGTCATTCAGTTTTGGTCCCAGGTATGTCTGATAATTCCTCATTGAATGCCAAACCACGTGTACCAAAAATCTAATGGGAGAGTTTGAATGATGCCATTATCCTAGTCCAGAGAGAATCCCCTTCTACTTTTGGTAGGATGTGAGCAAAGGGGCAGGCACCTTAATTCCATCAGCGAATGAGAGGGTTGGACGCTGGGACTCAGTTCCTGGAGGGCCGGGATATTTCCAGGTCACCTTACTCCACGGCTGCAGCCCTTGAGGTCCCACTGAAGTCTCAGTCGTTTACCTCGAGCCCCTTACCCTGAGCTTCATTTTTAGCTGGACTCTGTACTTCTCTTTGTCATATAATTTCTCGAGCATATTAACAAGCTGCTGAGCTATTGCTCTTTGCTCAACTTGGACATGTGTTGTAAGTAGACAGTTGGCTCAAGAGGAAAATGGAGCCCCAAAGCCAGGTTCTCCTCGCTGAGCTCCTCTTCTCTACTGGGTCGCTGTTGCTCAGTGCTCACCTACTGTGATGCCTCTCTGATGGCTTCCTGGGGTGTTTTCAATATGGTGTTTGGTTTTTCTAGATTTTCTCTGTGGGAGAGTTGATCAACAACAGAAACCCCGTACATCAGCCTTCGTTTCTCAAACCAGTGTGCCGGCATCCCTGAAGGCCCGAGGGGAATTCGAAATCTCAGACGACACAGCGCGGCACCTGAGCGCTTGCTCCAGAGTCAGACGGGACTAGAATCCCAGTGTTGCCACTTCCCAGCCATGTGACCTTGGACAAGTGACCCTCACAGGACTAAACTAAACTCATACATGTATATCGAGTGATCAGAGCAGCAAGTGCTGGCACGTAGTCAGTACCCAAAATACATCAGTTATTAGTATTCAGCAAACACATATTAAGCCTGGCTCTCTGACGGGCACTGTTCGCTCCCGGTCTCTCCCGGGTTCTACCTGCCTTTTCCTTTGCTGCTTTTCGCCTGCATCCTTTCCACGGAACAAACTGTAACTACGAGTATAACGGCTTTTCTAAGCTCTCCGTGTCCTAAGGAGTCAGCAAACCTGAGGGTGGTCTTGGGGACCCCGACACGCCCTGCTTGTTCAGAAGGTCTTGCTCTGAGAGGAGCGGAGAAGTGGGCGATAGCAGGAGGCGGGGACTCTCTGCGAGGGGCCAGGGCGAATTCGCCTGCCCGTGGGAATGATAAAGGAGACAAGAGAAGCTGGTAATTCAGGAGAGATCATTTCGAGAAGGTGAGGGGGACGGGGCCTTTCAAAGGAGCAGGGACAGGCTGGAGCCTGGCACACGGGTGCCTCTGACGGACGCAGGGACAGTGCAGCCGAGGGGCAGGAGGGAGGCCAGAGACTGTGGGGACAGTGCAGGTGTGCAGACAGACTTGGGGGCGAGGTGACGATCACTTTGTTTCCTCTATGGACTATGAAGTAAGGTTGCCCTTGGATGCACAGGGATGGGGATGGAAGGATGTAGGAGGTTTGAGAAGGAAGGTTTGAATTTTAGCCACTTTGGGGAGCAAACCCTCACACAGAAAAGTGTGCTAAGATTGCAGGGCAGGGAGGAGTGCTGCTTAGAGACCTCTGGCCGTGAACCTGACAGGAGGGTCCACACACACCAGAGCCCGGGATTTCTCTGCACCAGCTTTCGGCTGTGGAGGTGCGGCAGGAAGCGTGTGGATGGCGGGATTCAACCAGGATCGCGCACGGCCAGCCGAGGGGGACAGAGGGTGTTTGTAAGTACATCAAGGCAAGACAGGATAAACAAGGCGTAAGAGCCTGAAGCTCAATCTTGCTCGATGGCAAGTAATTAAAAACAACATTTAAAAACAAATCTGGATTCATTTTGGAATAGAATGAAGAAAGCACATGATTTTTCAGATAACTCAAATAGGGTTTTCCTGTTGGAAGTGCACTTCCAGCAATAGCCCTGGTTCCGGTGGGGCAAATTCCCTCTTGCTGGAAGTTGGGAAGCTTTGGAAAAATCTGAGGAGGCTTGTCTTGCTGGTGCGTCCCCTTGATCACTGATTGGCCCCCTGGCAGTTCCTGGGGGCCAGCTGAGGACAAGGTCCAGTGGCAGCAGGAGGGTGGAGGCTGTGTCCCTAGGATGGTGTGGACAGGGAAGGCTGGGGACTTGATCAAGGCCTCCCAGGGATGCGTGGGTGCTGGAGGGATGGGCAGGGGACTGTCAGAGAGTCCAGTTTAGAGGCCAAGTGAGTCAGAGAGGCGTTCAGGTAGACCGTGGGGAGGGAAAGGGCTGAAATATGAGGTCTGTCTGGAAGAAGTCCAGCCATTATTAATGTAATGAGAATGGTTTGCGTGACATCAATGTAACCCGGCAGCCAAGGAGAGTGGACTGGAATGCACAAGTGTGAACAATGATGACTTCGCTGTACTAGTCAGTGGGGGTGGGAGACGCCATTGAGTGATCGTGTGTCCTGTGTAGCCATCACATTCAAAATGACTGAGCGAATAGAGCAATAAATCTGCATCAAATTTTGCGTTAAGCTTGAACATTCTTCCATGGAAATTATTTGAATGATTCAGAAGGCCACAGCTATGGGCAACTGGTGATTGGTAGCTTCATCATGACAACGTGCCCACTCATGCATCACGTCTTAATGTGGAGTGTGGAGTTTTTTGGCGAAACATCAAATCACCCAGGTGAGTCACCCCCCCTACAGCCCAGATTTGGCAGCCTGTGCCTTCTGGCTCTTCCCGAAACTGAAATCACCTTGGAAAGGAAAGCGATTTCAGACCATCAATGAGATTCAAGAAAATACAATTGGGCAGCTGATGGCGGGCGACTGGGAGAACCGTGCGAGGTTCCAAGGTGCCTACTCTGAAGGGGGCTGAGGTGTCATTGTCCTATGCACACAGTTTCTCCTATCTTGTATCTTCTTCAATAAATGTCTCTATTTTTCGTAACACATGGCTGCATGCCTTCCGGACCGGCTTTGTACACCAGGGCCAGCTTCCCTTCTCCTGCCCCATCTGCCCAGGACTCCATGGGAGGTACCACTCTGGGGGTCCAGGCAAGCGACTCAGGCAGATTGGATCTCAGGGAACAAGTCAGGGACCTGTTCCTGGAACTGGGACACAAGGTGGGGTGTTAGGAATGAGGCCAAAGCCCAGTTATCAGAACTGGGACACTTTCCACGTGGGACTTGTGTTCTCTGCATCCTTGCTGCATAAATCCTGGGAAGTGGCATGTCTGCACCTGGGCCCTGGCAGAACCTGTCACGTTGCAGGGGTGGGTGGGGCTCGGTGAGGCCATGGGGCACCAAGGTGGCACTTCCTGACTGTGCCTAACCCCCTGCTCCAAGTAGCTGCCTCCTCAATGTCCCATGATTCCCCCTACCCCGGGGGTAGCCCCAGCCTTGCAAGAAGAGCCTCAGAGTTAAACATCATGTTTATTTGGAACATTCAAATTTACAAAAACATAAAAGTAACAAAACCCATGATATATCATACACACACACACACACACACATACATGTTGCATCTCATGTCACTTAATGTACAAAAGTGGGCCAGGAGGGCGGGAGGGGGTGGGTCACCAGTAGGGTGCACTAATTTCACAGTGTCCAACAGCTTGACATGCTTGCTCACTGCTCAGCCTGGGCCCACATGAGCCTTTTCTCTACCCAGCAGGGTCAGAGGTCAGGGGTCATAAGTCAGAGGAGGCAGGGCTTGGGGTAGCTGGCAGCTGGGACAAAGGAGGTAAAGAAAATGATCCCACCTCTGGGAGGGGGCTCCTTCCCCAGTGTGTTCAGGGCAAGGGTTCGGGGAGACAGAAAAGGGGGAACCAGTTCTGGGGAGAGAAGGGCCACCGCACTGTGCAGAGAGCACTTAACGCAGTCAGAGAGCTGGCTCAGGTGTCCCGGTGTCCCGGCTGGGTGGCCCTGGGGCCACTCACCCTCTTTGGGCCCTGGTGTCCTCATCTGTAAGATGAGGGCTTCAACTCCCTCTAAGAGCCCTTCTCTCCAATCTGCAGACCGAGGCCATGCACAGCTGTGGCAAGGTGCTCTGTCCCCTGGGGAGGTTGGCTGGGGGCACAACGTGCCACCAAGGTGGGAAAGTGTGGCAGGTAAGAGCTGTGAAGCACCTGGAGCAGGGCTTGGCCCAAAGCAGAGGTCTGAGAAATGTTTCCTCCTTCCCCTGCCTGGGGCTCCTGGGAGACAGTCCGCCTTTCAGCTCTCCTGGAATCTCCAGCCAGCAGAGGAGGGGCCGGCACACTGCAGGGAGGCGCGTTCCTCGGAGGGACTAAGACCCCTCCCACTGCCTCACTGAGGGGGACCCTGGCCCGGGGGCCGGCCCACGCCGGGCCTCTGTCCCTCCACCTCAGACTCCGACGGTGAAAGAGTTGGGCACATCCCTTCAGGCCGAACCCGCCAGGAGCAACGAAGCCCCGATCCCACTCCACAGGGTGTGCAAGCGACTGTCCCCCTGGGCTGAGGAGGGGCCCTCAGTGTAACCTGCTTTTGGTTTGAGCTCTGGGCTATCTGATGGACACTGGGCAGGTTACTTAGCCTCTCTGTGCCCCAGTTTCCTCACGTGTTTGATGGGGCTAAGAATAGTCCTAGCACTGTGAGGGTACACGAGATGATGCCCTGAGGGGCTCAGCACAGTGCCTGACACTCGAAAAGGATGTAACAAACTCGGCTCGGGGACACAAGTGAGCCACTTACAGGTCCTCTTCCCCTGCCTCCTTGGCTGTGCCTGGGAGCAGCTGGAGGTCAAAGGTAGAGCCCAAACAGCAGGCAGTGGCCATGTTGGAAGGGGCGGGGTCTATGGGGCTTTCATTTTTCTGGAATGGAAATAGGGATCCAGGCCACTCGCCAATGGCCCTGACTCGGAGCCTGTACCCCAACCCCTCCAGTTTGTTCCTGTTCTCTCCAGAGGGGTGACCGGGGTGCATCAGGTGTCTCATCATGACCATGACAAAGCACAAAGGACTTGGCATGTTCTCTGCATGCGCTCAAGTGATCACACACGTTCTGTCACCTCTATCCTACGACCCTTTCTTTCCCCCCAAGGCCTCCACAAAAGCTGCTTCCTTAAAAGACAAAAATAGAAACTCAACAAAACCCAGCGTCCAGTGTCCCTGAAATCTAAGTTCCCAATACTGCCATCACCCCAGCAACAGAAGATGTCACTACGAGATACTTGACCCAGCACTAAGGCTGATGTCATTAGCTGTTACCAGGGCAACCTAGATCTCAGCAGGGTCTGGCTGAAGCGAGCCATGGCTCCTTCTCCTAGGTTCTCCTAAGGGGAGTTGGGCCCGAGGTGCTGAAAGGTCTTTTGCGCTCTTGAAATAGAAACAAGGAACTGGGGGCTGGAGGCAAGAGTCTCAGAAAAGCCTGCACAGCCCCAGCTCTTACACTGGGCCTCCTGCTAAGCGGCAGTGGGGGCCAGAGACCAGCAACAAAAAGTGGGGCAACATGCACAGTGCCCACTCGAGCCAGGTAGCCTGCAGTTGCCCAGACCTGGTAGGCGGCTGGCGGGGAAGGGACACCTGCGTTCTCAGCTCTCCGTTCCTGCCAAAGTGAGCGGGACCCCGCCTCCCAGGAGGCAGGGGATGCCCAGATGTGTTTCATAAAAGAGGATGTCCCAGTGGTCATGTGGGAAAGCATTCTGATCTCTCAAATGTCCCCTCTGTAGGTGCAGGCTGGACTCAGTCCCGTGTGGGCAGGCAGTATGGTGTGCGGGGGAGAGCACTGAGGAGCGGTCAGAGCCCTGGGTCCTAGTCCTGGCTCTGCCCCGAGGTGCTGGGTGATCCTGTGCAAGTCGCTTGCCCTCTCTGAGCTCCTCCCTATCTGCACAAGTAAGGGATCAGACTGGGCATCTCTCTCAGCTCTGACATTTTTCCACTCTCTTGGGGAAGCTGGTGAGAACCCAAGGTGGGGACCCGGAAGCCACCAGCCCATTGAGACACACTCAGACAGGCAAGAGTGCCAGGCTGGGGGATCCAGAAGAGCGGACTTTTACAATCTGCACATGAGGTGGGTCTGTCTTGCCCCGGGCCCTGGCTGCTGACTCTCTGGGGCCAGCTGCTGACCCTGACGCACGCCTAGTGAGATCCCATGTGCTGCCCAGTCCCAAGACCTGCCCTGTGATGCCCTTCGGTCACGGGGAAAGTTCTCAGGCTTGCCTCATCCTGTCCACCTGAAATCACAGACCATCTCACGTTTGCTCGCAAAGGAGGAAGGCTAGCCCAGAGAGGGCAGGGACTTAGAAAAGGCCACACGGCCGGGCTGGCTAGGAGCCACGGCTGCTCCCTCCCATCCAGCACTCTGCACACCGCTCCATGCCTCTCCCTGCTCACGCAGCTACTTCCTTCCTTCCTCAGAGGCTGCAGGGCCATGCCGTGGGGGAGACGACGTGGGTCCCCCGGGACAGTGTCTCTGCCTCATGCTGCTCCCCGCTCAGACCAAAGTGGCCCAGGCCCTGTCCCGGCCACAGAGCGGGAGAAATGACCATGCCAGCAGTGGACACAGCTGTGGCTGGGCACAGGGGTGACTATGGGCCTTTGGCCTCCTGGGGTCTTGGTCCCTAATCTTCCAGGCCAGAGCTGGGGAGAGAATGTCCTGGAAACTGAGGTGGGGTTGGGTCAGGCATGGAACCAACATTCAATCCACTGCACAAGAAGAAACGAGGGAGGAGGAGGAAGAGAGGGGGTGTGGGTGCGGGGAGAGCGTCCATCAAGACCCCATGGCCTTGACTGTCAGCTGGTAGAGAGATGGAGGAGGGGTGGGTCTGCGTCTCCCATGTCTCCATCATCCCCTTCTCAGCCGGAGGGACGACTCCACAGCCTGCTGTGGCCCTGAAGGGGAAGGGGCCAGGCCCGGGGCACGGGGGGCAGGGGGTGGATGGCCTCCCCTGCCCCTGAGATGGTGGGCACGCCCCCCCGCACACAACCCCAAGGGCATGCCGTTGGCAGCGGTGGACTCAGATGTGGTTGGTGGGACATGGTGGGGGCAAGAGGTGGCTGGGGCTTAGTGCCAGGACAGTGGACAGAGCCAGGGGCGCTGCTACCCCTCCCAGGCTTGGCCTATTGACTTGAGCTGCTTGTCCCCATCCAGGAGGGGTCAAGAGACAGCCATCGCAAGGGCAGGCCATCATGGAGGTGTGGGTGCAGGTGGGGGAAATGAGAGGTGTGGGCAGGAGTGGAGCAGGGGGAGGCCAGTGAGTGGCAGGCTAAGGGGGGATGTGCCCCGACTCCTGTAAGGTCCCCAGGTTGGCAGTCAAGGGAGGGGCCCTGGAAGAGGTGGCCCCTCACGCCTTGGCCCTCCCCTTGCAGATATCGAAGGCGGCCTTCGTTGCACCCCCAAAGGCCTCCACCAGCTTGTCTCCCCAGGGGAGGACGTTGCCCAGCAGCGGCCCAGTACAGTTGGCAATGCCCAGGACCTGGGCAGGTGTCAGGGCGTGGTCCCACAGGTTAAACTGGGCAATGTCACCCACAAAGGCCTGGGTGGCATCAAACCGGCCTCCCAGCGTATCCTGGGCCAAGAGAGCAGAGAAAAAGGAGAGAGACATAGAGTGAGGGAGCAGAACAGGTAGGCAGGCGGACTCTGTGAATCAGGGCTCCCCAGCCCGGCCCAGCGGAAGCCCCGCCCCCATGGCCCTAGCCCCGCCCCCACGGCGCTAGGCCCTTGGGCAGGTCTCCCCTCTGCCAGGGTCCCTGTCGCCCTCGGTCTGCAGAACGTCTGGGTCAGACCGAGTGGTCACTGCTGTGCTTTCAGGCTCCCTCCACCCAGCCCTTCCTCCTCAGGGGCCCTGGGTGGGTGGGATTATCTCCTTGGGGCTCAAGCACGGGAAATCCCTGAGCCGTACCTGCTCTTGGCCCAGAATAAGGATCCCATGAGGCTTGATGGGGTGCCAGGCAGCCAGGTTCTCGCCGGAGCCCCGCAGCTCCCCGTCCTGGTAGGCAGACCACAGGCCGTCCCGTGTGGTCCAGGCGATGCAGATGTGGTGCCAGCCGTTGTCCTTCAGGCTCAGGGGCAGCTGGGCCACCTGGACACAGATTCCCCAGCCCCAGGTCAGAGGTCACAAGGCCCAAGGCTGGAGCAGTGCAGTGAGGGGACCAGAAGACCTGTGTCCTTCCTTCCAGGGACCCTCCCCTTCCTCCCAGCCCAGCGTCTTCCCCACCACTCCCTCCTCTTTGCCCACGGCTTAACCAGGCAGGGGCCTGAGCTTCACTCAGATCACAAGGGACCAGTCAGCGTTGGCTTGTTTCTCATTGGTTTCCAGGTAGTTTCTTCACTAACAGGCCTGTAAGGTCACGTGGGGTGGGAGCCACAGCTCCACGCCCATCTTCCTCTGAACACCTCACAGAGTGCCTGGCACAGAGCTGGCTCAAGGAGCGCTAGCAGGGGCGGAACACGCCCTGGACTCAGGCCAGGTCCTGGCCCTGGCAGCCGATCCCCTGGGGACCTGGGGGAGGCTGCGCTTGCCTCCCTGGCCTCGGTTTCCTCGTCTGTAAAGTGAGGAGGCCAGGTGAGGGATGGCAAATACGCAGTCATGTCCGCCTCGGCCACCCAAGGCAGACATGGCTAATCAGTCATGAGCCTAGAATCAGCCTCAGAATCTTCCTCGGCGCGGTGCTCTTGGAAGCCGCTGCTGATTGATTCGCGTCTGCCTGTCAGACAAAGGATACTTGCTGCCTGTGGATTTGGAGCTGCCTGTGGATTTGGAGCTCCCAAAGAGCTCTTTCCTCTCCTGCTCTCTGAGATCACAATGTAATGCAACATTCTCTGAGGCCTACTTAGTGCCGGGCCTTGTTCCGGACTCTGGGGATACGCCTCTGGTCCTAGCTGTAAATGAGCTGAGTCTGCACAGGAAGGAAGGACTTCAGGGACAGTATTAGGGGACAAAACAACACCGGGGCCATCCTGGAGGTACAGAGGCAATAAAGGCCCAGAGGAAGAGGGGGCTGTGGGGACAGAAGACGTGGAGTTGAAGTACGTCTGGATGGCGATGGACCCGGGCCATTCACTGCAAGGCGGACCAAGTGGGAGCACAGCAGGAGCAAACGCTTGGAGGCTGGAACCCAAGGGGAACTGCGAGTAGCCTGGGAGGTCGGCGCTCGAAGCACTCCAGGGCTCCTGGAATGGGCGCCCCGTGTCCTGTCCAGGGTGCTGAACTTCTAAGAACTGGTGCGGACCGTGGGCGGAGCCAAGGATGGCAGCCAGAGGGTGTGGGACCCGAACAGGGTTAGTAGGATCTAGATGTAGTACGCCTCCCCAGGTCTTCTCAGGACCGACTGGGTCGCAGAAAAAACCTCATTGCCCCCCGGGCCCATCTCCTTCCTGCTCTTCCAGGGCACCCATGAGAGGCACTCCTGCTAAGCAGGATTCCCGTGGGTTCTGGGAGGCGCCTCCCGTAGGTAGGTTGGGGAAGTCACAAAATTTCTGTGAGCCTCACAGGCTTCCCCTGTGAATGGAACCCCACGCTCACAGCCTCTCTGGGACAGAGCCCCTCCTCAGCCAGCCCCAGGTCTGGCTCATCACTCTGTCCCCAGAGCCAGCCTGGCATGCAGTGGGCATGGCCTGTGTGCCGAATACTCTGAGCAGGAGAATGGAAAGGGCATGCACAGGGGGGTCCAGCACAGCATGGAGCCCTGGAAGGGTGGCCCCCGGCCCCCAACCCTCCAGAGCTGCCCACCCCCACTGACCTTGTCATTGATCAGCAGCTCCATGGGGTCGTGGCCTGCCTCCAGCAGCACAATCTCGTTGGCCTGCCCCGGCACTGAGTAGGAGAAGGGGGTGCCCTGGCCAGTGCCTCCCGACCGGGACCGCAGCCACATGCAGACGGTGAAGGCGTAGAGCTCGGGCAGCGCCTTCCGCACGCGGGCGTACATGTAGTTGTTGCGAATGGGGATGCTGATCTTGAAGGCGTCAGGGGGGCTGTAGGCTGAGGACCCTGAAGGGGGCGGGCAAAGTGGAAACGGTGGGAGTGAGTGGACACCGACGAGGGGGGGGTGGGTAGGGCACACTTCAGAATGGGGGCTGCTAGTCCCCAGGCACCTGCTGTGCCTCCCTTCAGCTGTGGCCCCGCTATGGCTCCTTCCCTCCAAAAGTCACTCTCTACCTCTGCTTTCAGGACAAGCATGAGGCCTCCCTCCTCTAGGAAGCCTCCTGGATTTCCTCCTCCAGAACTCCCGTCCTATTTCTAAGCCAGTCCCCGCTAATTGCTCATGGTTTTCCTGGTATCCTCAACTTGTCCGCAAGCCTCTTAAGGATGATCCTCACAAGGTTTCAAGGATGAAAATTCCCTCAGAGCTCATCAGCCCTAAATCTCCACTTTCCACATGAGGAAAATGAGGCCTGGGGAAAGGGGGCAAACACCTGAAGTCCCAGAGCAAGTCCATGACAGCTAGGGAACCAGGAGCTAGGTCCCCTGATGCTCATACTTGTTCACTGGCCATGACATCACGCTTCTCTGACCTCCTTGGCAGTGCCAGGCCCAGGTGTTAAACAAATGACAAAATTCTGATTCATTGAAGGTGATATTTTGTGGGGTTGTTAAAGGCATGGACTTTGGAGTCAGACCTGGTCTGAAGCCTAGATCCACTACTTACTGGCTATGTGACCTTGGGTAAGTCACTTGACCTCTCTGAGCTTCAGTTTCCTCATCTGTGAAATGGGGATAGCAACGGTACCATCCCTCGTTGGTTTGTGAAGAGTAAGCGAGCCGGCGTGTCAAGTCCTTAGCCCACCCCCGATACATAATAACTGTCAGAAAACACTAACTTAATAATAATGGTAATGACAGTCCCCCCATTATGCCCTCCCTCTTGTGTGTCACAGCCTCCTCCCCACTGGTCTGTCTTTAGCCTCTGGAGAGTGTAAAAATGCTTTTCCAGTGAGTCTGCCACCCCGAGGACCTGCCTGAGGCCAAGGCCTCGCCTGCTGTGCCCGCTGCGGGGCCCAGGACCCACCATGCTCCAGTTCAGCCACGCGGTCCTGCAGGACGCCCAGCTCCTTCTCCACCTCCTGCCGCTGCCGGTGGCTGTTGTGACTGAGGGCCGTGCGCTCCTTCTCCAGGGCCAGCACCTTGGCCAGCAGCTGTCCCTCCAGCTCGTCCATCTTGGAGTGCAGGGCGGTGGGCACCGCGGGGGCGGGGGCGGGGGCGGCTGAGAAGTTCACGCGGGCTGGGAGCTCCTGCTGCTTACAGGGCAGAGAAAAAGGCACGTGAGGTCACTCGGAGGGAGGAAGGGAAGGGACACGGGGCTCGGAGACCCCCGCCACTCCTGCTGAGTCACTCTAGGGGAGCCTCAGCTTTCCCGTATGCAAAATGAAGCCACTTACACCAGCTTCAGGCAGCAAACTGGGCGTCTAGCAGAGCATCTTAAGATCACAGAGTCAGACAGCTCAGGATTCAAATCCAGCTTGGCTGACCGAGGTCAGGCAGGGGTGCGCTGGTCAGCTGAGGGCAGCTGGCTACTGCCCTCAAGGACATCTCAGACAATGACAGGTGGGGACTGGCAGTGGGGCTCTGGAAAAGCTCCTGGGGGTTCTAGCGTGTGGTCGGGAGCCCGCAGCCACAGCTGACCCCTTCATAAGCGGAAGGGCGTACACCAGCTGTGCTCGCCTTCGCTCATTCACTCGCCAAGGCCCTCTACGGCGGGGCGGGGCTCTGTCCAGGGGCCGGGCGGACTCTGGGGCTCCTGGAACAGCACTCCAGCGCTGCAGCTGCGCGGGATGGTGTGCGGTTAAGATCACCGATTCTGGAGTCAGAAAGCCCAGGGTTCCAATCCAGCTGGAGGGCTGACCTGCTGCGTGACCCTGAGCAAATCCTTTACCTCTCCGAACCCCTGCATGGTTGCTCACTTGCAGCACAGGCAATTGCATCTATTTAGAAGACTTGTGGGGATGATTAAGTAGTAAATGCCAATGGGCACAGCCTGTTTATTGCGATTACTGTCCAGGGCCAGGGAGTTGGAGGGACAGTTAACTCCATTCTGTCACGCCCCCCCCCCGAGACTAGGGCCAGGTGGGCTCGCCTTGACACCCTGTTATATGAACCTTCACTATCCAGAAGGCTCCTTCTCACTCCCCAGGGTCCTAGGAGTCCAGACTCTGGTGCTGACTAAACCCAATGCCTTAGTTTCTCCTCTTGTAAAAAGGGACCACGGGCCCTGCTCTGTCCCTCCCTGGGATAGATGTATGGAAGTAAAGGCCCTCATGAGCTGTGAACAGAATGCAAACTGTAAGACATCGGTTGACAGGGAGCCGCTACCTCCGGAACATTTCCTTGACCACAGGCGGCCCGCCGAGGGACAGGGCCAGCCGCGCAATGCATTCAAGGTGGCTGGGCTGCCAGGAAGCCCTGGGTTGAGGCCGGCACGCATAGAGAGGATCCCGCTCAGCGCTGGAAGGGCCGCGGCTGGGCGTCCTCGGTGTCCCTGGTCCGCTGCACCAAGCTTGCCCTGAGGGCACACATCTGGGTGGGTGTGCCCCGCCCATTCTGGGCACTTGGCACGCACTGGCTCACGAACCCTTACAGCCACTCGTTTCTGTTGGTACCCTTAGCACCCCCGTTTTACAGATGGGGACACTGAGGCAGGCCCTTTTGGATTTTCTACGATGAGGCTGGCAAAGCTGGCGCCTCTGGAGCCAAAGCCTCTGTCTCTAGCAAAGCGTCCTCCTCCCTCGGAGGGAGACAGACCTGCCAGGCGGGAACAGGGCGTGGGGCGCTGTTTGCACAGGCGCCGTTTCAGGGAGAAACCGTGCAGGCGATGGAGGTGGGCGCGCAAGCTGTTCTTTTGTCAGAGCCGCTGGCTCTGCCGCCAACCGGAAGGCCAGGGAGGAGTGGGCTCACTGGATCGTGTGTGATCCCCTCCCCACCCCAGTGTCTGAATCAGAAGGACATGACTGTCCCCCTCACTCTCCCATCTGTTGCGGGTGCGGGCTGTGCCGTGTGGGCTCCCGGCCTGATGCCAAGTGGGCCCCTAGCCCAAGATGGTGGGGGACAGGATGAGGCCCTCATCCCCACTCCAGTCCTGATAGGGCAGGACAATGGGGGCTCGGGACCCACCGAGTGTTGTGCTGGGGGCCCAGGGTGGGGTGTGCTGTACATGAATGGAGTCTGGAGGCCGCGCCCGGGGGTCCTAGTCCCGCTCAGCGCTGGTGTGCCGGGCTCACTAGCACGCAACGATGAGAACGCCGCCAGCGGCAGCTGTCCTCTCTGTCACGCACTGTGGGCCAGTCCTGCAGTCAGGAGGCACCGTGCAAGCATTCCACGGCCCCTCCCAACAGCCTGGAGAGGTAAGGAGGCCCCCCTTCCAGATGAGGGAACTGAGGCTTCGACAGGTGAAGACACCTGCCTAAGGTCCTGTAGCTGTGAAGTGACAAAGCCAGGACGCCCGCCCAGGCCCTTCTGATTCCAGAACCGGTTTACGCTCTTCCCTGGCAGCCTGCGTCTCGGTCTGTTGGTCTGCCAAGAGGGCGCCGTGCTGGCCGCCCCCCCTGCCTCGGGGGCCAGGAGAAGTGGGGAGGGTCTGGCGGCCTGTGTCAGATGGTGCTTTAGGGCAGCTTTGCAGAGGGACCGGACAAGGAGGGACCTGCCTTTGCAGGGTAGCTCAGAGGCTGGAGGACGGGGAGGGTGCAGCCACCCTGGGGACTGCTCCTTTCCTTCGGGGAGCAGAGGACGGTGCTGGCTTCAGGGTCACGGTCCCACCCTCTGCACAGCTCACCCCTGCCCAGGACGGCCCGGGCCCGGGCCTGGGCCCCGGGGCAGCAGCGCTATGGGTCAGGTCTCCTCACCTCCCCTGTCCGGTCATCCCTCGAGTCCTCTGGGAGTCTGCCTGGGCCCACACCCTGGCTCCACCAGCCCAGCGACTTTGTTATGTAAAGCAGCCATGCCTCAGTTTCCCCCTCAGCAAGAAGGGTACAGTAGTAACAATACTATCTCATAGTATCGTCGTGAGGATTCGATGAGTTAATAGGTACAATGCCCTAAGAGTAGAGGTGGCACATGAAATGCTGTGTAAACGTCAGTAATTATTGTCACTAATATACTCAAATATCTCTTGAAGGGACCAATGCTTCTCCATCTCCAATCATAAATCTTTTTGTTTAATCATTATATTGGAAAAAAAAAAGGCAAGTTACAGAAGGACAGTTAGATACCATTTAAATAAAGTTGCCAAGATTCAAAACTAGATCACGTATTTGTAAAAGCGTAAAGAAATGCCCGGAGAGACAGAGACAACTGCAGGGCAGCGGTGACTGCCTCTTGCAGGTGGGTGCCTGGGGCCAGGAGAGAGGCGGCTGAGGCCCCAGGGTAAGTGACAGGACGCCCCAGTCCCAGGGACCCTCGCCTCTCCCTCCGAGTACGCGCCGCCACACTAATGCGCGGAGGAGGCCACAGAATTCCCTGTTGGGCCCGGCCTGCCCGCACACCTTCTGTGCCCAGGCAGAAATCTGCAGCAAAGGCCGAGGCCCCCACCCTCAGCCCATTTTAACAGAAGACCCTCGCTATGGCCTTTGCTCAGCTTCTGCCGGGCTGTGTGGCCTTGAGCAAGTCACTCTGCCTCTCTGAACCTTAGTTGCCCCTGAGTCAAATGCTGGTGTTTGGGGGGTACGTAAGTGCTTCCGCTTTGGGTTGCTTGCTGTCCCCAGAACTCAGTGGGGATCACATGCCCGAGTTTCTCCTGGGGAAACCCCACTTTCCTCTCACTCACTGAGGGTCGCCTGCTCCTGACCCCGCGCTGCCTCCCCCAGGGAAGGACTTCACAGAATGGCCAAAAAGCAGAGAAAAGGTGCCCTATGTCATGAGTCCTCAGAGAAATACAAATTAAAACCACCAGGAGCTCACTACACACCCACCAGGACAAGGCGCGTTTGTGAAATGACCAAACCAAGGCCCGCAAGGCCCGCAAGGCCCGCAAGGCCCGCACGCAGGTGGGTGTGTGCCCGCACGCTGCCGCTTTGGAACAGTGTTTGGCAGAGCCTCGTGACGCTAAATACATGCCTCTCCTGGGACCACGGCATCCCACTCCTGGGGATGTAGCCAGGAGCAAGGAGGGCTCATGGCCACCAAAATAGACCCCAAGGACATTTGTGGCAGCTTTGTTATAACCCCAGACCAGAAACAACCCAAGTGCCCGTCTGTAAGAGCACTGGCTAAATCACCGAAGGCATGTCTGTATTCAGAAACCCTACACAGCATTGAAAAGCAACAAACCACTGACACACGCCCCCTGATCGAATATCAGACAAAATGACAATGGCAGACACAAAGGGGCACCACTGTCTGTCCAGATGAAGTTCAAATACGGGCCAAACGGACCAGTGGTGACAGAAGCAGGACCGTGGTGCCTTCGGGGGCAGTATGGAGTTGGGGGTCACCGAGGAGCCTCCTGGGGCACTGGAAATGTTCTGATTCTTGGTCTGGGGGTGTCTTCTGGGTGCCTCCATACACAGATTTTCACTGAGCCACGCACTTAAGATTTGTGTCTTTCACAAACAAGTAAGGTAGGTGGGCTCTTCCATATCTTGACTGTAAGGTATACCTCAAAAAATAAATAAATAAAAGGGAGCCCCACAGGGAAGGCCCTGCCCCCGCCCAGCAGCGCCGGCCGGGCTCAGAGCAGCGGCCTCCTCTCCAGAGTGAGGGTCTCCCAGGGGCAAACGGCCTCAGGTACACAGAGTGACAGAGCAAGTGGGCCCTGCCCACCCCTCCCATTTAACAGATGGTGACACCGAGGATCAGAGAGGAGAAATCTTCTAAGGTCACAGTAAACAGGTGGCAGAGCTGGGACTTAAAACACCAGGTTTCTTGCTAGGTCGAAGGTGCCGCCCTGGCAGGAGCAGGGGTTAAGGGGTCCCCCGTGTGGTGCCCCACCTGGATGTCAGGGAGGCCAGCCACAGGGAGAGGGGCCGGCGGGGCCTGCAGGGGGCTGGCGGGCACTGAGGTTCCTTGTCCTCAAACAAAAGGCTGATGTGCAGACCCTCTCTTGCCACACTCTGCTGGCCCCCTTCGTGGCCAAAGAGGCAGAGTCAGGGGAACCAGCCCCCACAGGGTAGAAGCTTCCAGAAGGGGCAGCAATACAAGAAAAAAGTAAAAGCAACCAGTAGACTTTAGAAAAGTCACCAGTAGATTCTCTAAGTCACTGTGTTTATCTGCAGACAACTGAGAAACTGGAGGTCTGGGAGTGGGGGAA